GGCGTTGCGGTTTTAGCGACACGACCCGGCTTCGTGCACCGACCCGCTCGGAGACGCCGTCCGCAGGGCCAACCCCGTCGAGTGGCCGGAAGCCCCTGCCGTGGCCTGGGCGCCGCGCGTGGAGGCATTGTGGCCAGGGCAGGTCTGCCCCGTCTCGCCGGCCTGGTCAGGAGGCCCCGAGAGTAAGGGTTCTGCCCGCCTGGGCCCGGTCCCCTCCCGGGAGCTGTCCATCCCGGGGTGCTCCTGCGCCCATTTGCACACCGCACACCTCTTAGTCCCCAGTGGTTCCCGTCCTTTCTGCCACTCGGTCAAGGCATGCCAAGGACGAGTGAGGCTCTGGGTGTCGCAACGTACAAAGACTCAGGGCGACTTCAGGTCCATCCAGAGCGGCCCTTGGGCCCTTGCTCTAGGCCTAGTGCTTGTGTCTCCGTGGAGCACGTGACCCGAGAGTTGCCTGCTCGGATTTCCTCTTTTCCGGCCCTGGAGGTTCAGAGTTCAGGTTTAGTCTGCGGGAGGCCACGGCTGCAGAGCACACTGGGAGAGCCAGAAGACAGGCTGATCTTTCTCCTAGAGGGGCTAGCGGGGGGTGTGGTCTTATCTGCTTATCTGGCTCTCCTTTCTTGAAAAGTCTGAGCTGTGTCCCATGAATGACTGACCCCACACTCACCCCTGATCTGGGAGTGGTGAGGGCAGGGCCTAGCTGCAGGCAGTACTGTTCCTTTCATCCCTGTTTTGTATCATGCTGCAACCTTAGGCAAGTTATCTGACCTTTCAGCTTTCTTGGAGGACACTTGAGACCTGGTTTACTCTGCTTTCAGCAAAGGACCCCACGCGTGCTGGGTTATGTAGCCAGTGCTCAGTGGGTGTTGACTATTGCCAGGGTGGCTGTCTAAGTCCACAGCATCCTCTGGTGTCTCTTCCCCCTGAGGACCCCAGAGGGTTGCCTCTGATGTGAAGGTCGTAGAAAGCAGGGGAAGGATGAATCCCTGGAGCCGGGTTCTAGGCTGGCCTCTGACGACCTTGGGCTCTGTGCTTTTGGGTGGGTCGCTCAGCCCACCTGGGCTGTGGTGTGTTGGCTGTGAGATGAGGTAGGCGGTTGTAACGGTGACCTGCAAGCATTTCTTTAAGGTTCCATCCTTGTTGCTCTGTGGATTGAGGTGTATGCTTGAAGGATTAACATTTCTCGTGTTGGAGTTGGAAATCAACTTTCCAGCTCCCTCCAGCACAGCGCCAAGAGTGACTTAGGCTGAAAGCCTAATCTATCTGAGAATGCCTTTGAGTGTGAGGTCCCGCTCCCCGTTCTGGAGCCTCTGGGACTGAGTTGGGCTTGGGGCCATAGAGCGATAGGGCCATTTCGATCACAGCGATTGGTTACCTGAAGGGGCCAGAACAAATTCCTGCTGAGCTTCGCCCCACCCCCAGTCCTGGGCTGCCTCAGCCTCTGCCCAGCTGCAGATACTTCTGCCTCAGAGCAGAGATCGCTTCTCCAGGTAGGTGTCTGTCCCCGCAGTCTGGGCCACTCAACCAGCCCAGTCCCTCTGCCCTCCAGCTCCTGGCTGGCTGACCTGTCTCCAAAGTGGCCCTGGAGTCGTAACTCTGAGCTGCTGGCTCCAGCATAGTGCTCTCTCATTTTGTTTTGTTTTGTTTTTTGAATTGGGGTCTCACCCTGTCACCCAGGCTGGAGACAGTGGCACACTCATGGCCACTGCAGCCTCAACCTGCTGGGCTCAGGCGATCTTTCCACCTCAGCCTTCCAAGTAGCTGGAACTGCAGACGCATGCCATCACGCCTGGCTAATTTTATTTATTGTAAAGACAAGGTCTTGCCAAGTTCCCCAGGCTGGTCTTGAACCTGAGGGCACAGGCCATCCTCTCGCCTTGGCCTCCCAAAGTGCTGGGAGTGCAGGCTGAGCCACCTCGCCCAGCCGCCCTCTCGTTTTGAATCCCACCACTCTTCCGCGTCTGCTGCTGACTGTGGTGTGGCAGGGCCGATCTGGCGGTTGGGGAGAGCCTCCGGGAAGGGGTAAGGGATCGGTGACCTGGGGGTACCAGAGTGGAGACACTGGGGATCGTGCAAGGCCAGAGCAGGGTTGGGGGGAGGTGGAGTGGCCCTGCTCTTCTTAGTCTCCAGTCTTCTTCCCGCGGGCTGTGGCGCCAGGCTGGGCCCTGCTGGCTAAGGCATTGTAGGAACTGGGTCTGGGCCTGCAGGTGGGGCAGGCGTCCCTCTGAGAAGAACTTGGGCGAGTTGACTTTTCTTTGGTGGAGCCCTAGAGAAGGCTCTTGAATTTCACGGCTCTGCATAACAAAGGTCCTGGCCAAGTTATTCTCTCTGGCTCTGCATAACAAAGGTCCTGGCCAAGTTATTCTCTCTGTCTCCTCCCTCCCTTACCATACCCAGCCTCCCGCCTTCCAGGTCACTGCCACAGCTGGCTGACGTGTGGGAGGCCCAAGGCGCAAAGGAGGTGGCTCCAAGGCGTGATAGACCTGAACAGGAGCTGATTCCTTTGCAGCTCACCCCGGACAGTGTCACTCGGCAGCAGAAGAGGAAAACCGTGAGCCCGTGGCTAGGAGCCAGGGCGTAGCCACCTGCCAACCACTGCCAGCCCCAAACCCAGAAGCAGCAGCTGGCTGCAGATCAGACCCGGTGAAGACGAGAGTGTGGGGTGCACACCTCCACTCCCCTCCCCCTGCCTCAGAGACGAGCATGGCCGCAGCCGCTTTCTCCCTCACGGACTACGTGGTGTTCATCTTGCTACTGGTTCTCTCTCTTGCCATCGGGCTCTACCATGCGTGTCGTGGCTGGGGCCATCACACCGTCGGCCAGCTGCTCATGGCGGACCGCAAGATGGGCTGCCTCCCTGTGGCGCTGTCCCTGCTGGCCACCTTCCAGTCGGCCGTGGCCATCCTGGGCGTGCCGGCTGAGGTCTATCGGTTCGGTACCCAGTACTGGTTCCTGGGCTGCTCCTACTTCCTGGGGCTGCTGATTCCTGCCCACATCTTCATTCCCATCTTCTACCGTCTGCACCTCACCAGTGCCTACGAGGTGAGCGAGGGGGACGTGAGGCCATGTGCGGGGGGGGCGGCACGCAGATGTCCTCTGCCTGACGGAGGGGCGGAAAGCTCACCCAGCGTGTTGTTCCTGCTGGGCGAGGGCAGGGCTGGGATGGAGGTGTAGGGGTGGAGTCCAGAGGAATGCCCTTTTTTCTGTCTGCCCAGTACCTGGAGCTCCGGTTCAATAAAGCCGTGCGGATTTGTGGGACTGTGACCTTTATCTTTCAGATGGTAAGTAGCAAGTAGAGTGAGGATGGGCGTCTCTCAGAGTGGTGACCCGACCCCTGCTAGAGGTCAGCGTCCCTCAGTCCCTGGGGTGTCTTTCTTCCCCCTTCCTTCCAGTCCCAGCACAGACGCCATCAAGCCAGAGTTGGGGAGGAGGAAGGGAAGCCAGCTTCAGTGAGGGCAGCCGGCGGTGTGTGGGGTGGCCGTCGTTCCTCCTCTCCCCTTGTTTTTCTCATGTCCCACAGGTGATCTACATGGGGGTTGTGCTCTATGCTCCCTCGTTGGCTCTCAACGCAGGTGAGGAGTCAACGCCGCTGGCTTCCGCCAGGGCAAGCTAGGAAAGGACCTGGCCTTGGCTGGGGAGGCCACCCACTGCACGGCCCTCGGGTTAGCTCTGCCCACCGGGGAGGAGGCTCAGTTCATCTCCCTTGGAAGCCAGTTGGGTGTGACTGTGCCCATCTGAGCTGGTTAATCAGCACCTCTTGCTGGAGCTTTGCAGTCCTTCTGATGGAGTGGCAGAAAGCTCATCCTGTGTGTCGTTCCTTCTGGGCGAGGGCAGGGCTGGGAAAGCAGAGAGTGGAGGTGTAGGGGTGGAGTCCAGAGGAATGTCCTTTTTTCTGTCTGCCCAGTACCTGGAGCTCCGATTCAATAAAACCATTGCTGTGAATAATTTATTTCGCTGTCAACGACCACAAGCCTCGTGCCTGTGACCTGACATGGCTGCCCTACCAGGGCTTCTCCCCCAGGAAGCTCTCTTCCAGGGATGGGAACGTGTCTTGTATCTGTTGCAGTGACTGGCTTTGACCTGTGGCTGTCAGTGCTGATGCTAGGCGTTGTCTGCACCATCTATACTGCCCTGGTGAGTGCAGCGAGCCCTGGGGATGGAGGGGATGAAGGGGGAGGGGAGATGAGAGAAGGAAAAGAAAGGAGGAGAGTGTGGAGGAAAAGGATGGGTGGGGTCTAGGGTGGGATGAGCTGAGATTTAGGATGGGATGTGGAGGAGGGTGGGTGTGAGTACAGTGAGCCCTGGCGGGGGTCTCAGTAGTTTCCCCCGCAGCATAATCACCTCGCAGGTGGCAGGTGGCACTGTCCTTGGGAGAGCCCTGTAGCAGGTGTGCTGCCCTCTCCTCACAGGGCGGGCTGAAGGCCGTCATCTGGACAGACGTGTTCCAGACGCTGGTCATGTTCCTGGGGCAGCTGGCTGTTATCATCGTGGGGTCGGCCAAAGTAGGCAGCTTGGGGGACGTTTGGGCCGTGGCGTTGCAGCATGGCCGCATCTCTGGGATCGAGTGAGTGTGCCCCTCCCCTGTCTGGCTCTGCCACATCTGGGAGCCCAGCCGTCCTTGCGGTCTGGGGCTGTAGCCTGTGCAGGGTGAGCACGAGGCCGCGGGAAGCTGGCCCTGCGGGGACAGGCAGTTCCAGAGCGCGACCAGTGCTCAGGAGAGTCAGGGTTACTCCCGGGGGAGTGCCTGGGGTGCGGCTGGGGCTTGGAGACATGGGACCCATCCTCCGCTGCAGAGCGGCGCCACCTGCCCAGCTTCCAGCCCAGCTTCCAGCTGGGCCCTGCTGTACTGCCTGGGTGAGCGCAGCTGCCCTGGGCCAGGAGGGCTGCGTGTTGGCTGCAGCTCCGTGACTGAGCGACCATGCCACAGGCTGGACCCCGACCCCTTTGTGCGGCACACGTTCTGGACCCTGGCTTTCGGGAGTGTCTTCATGATGCTGTCCTTGTACGGGGTGAACCAGGCCCAGGTGCAGCGCTACCTCAGCTCCCGCACCGAAAAGGCAGCTGTGCTGTGAGTGTGGGACTGGGCCGGGCAGAGCGTGGTGGGCGGGGCCACAGGGCCTAGAGTACCTGTCCCTTGGGGGAGGGGGCTGGGTGGTTCCTGGGCGTGTGTGTCAGTGCCTCACCCCACTTGCAGCTCCTGCTATGCGGTGTTCCCCTGCCAGCAGCTGGCCCTCGGCATGGGCTGCCTCATCGGCCTCGTCATGTTCGCCTACTACCAGAAGAACCCCATGAGCCCCCAGCAGTCTCAGGCAGCCCCTGACCAGGTGAGAAGGCCTCCCACCCTCCCGTGCCCATGGGGGGCCAGGGGAGTGTCATTGGGAAAGGGCTGGTTGCCGAAAGACTCCCACCTGGGCAGGAGCAGCTGAGAGTCTTTGCCTCTCCGAGATGCTAGCGATCTAGCCCATGAGGAGGGCCCCAGTGCCGGTGTCCCCTGGTCACTGTGCTTGTCCTGCTGGGGTGGGGAACTGCCTTTACTGACTTCCCACCGTGCAGCCTGAGGCCTGCTGGGAGCCATCACACTCCTGGTCTCATCTGAGTCTCTCAACGGCCTGGTTTCGCAAAGGAGAAAGCAAAGTCACCCACCCACAGGAGTCACCACTGGCTGGAACTGGAGCTGGGTGGGAGCCGGGCCATTCTCTCTCCGCCTACTGCGGGGTCGCTGGGGTCGGCAAGATGCCGCAGCCCCTCGCCCCCTTCCCGCTGCAGGCTGCCTCAAAGCCCTGGGACCCGTCCAAGGGCCTTGTCACATGGCCTGCCCCGGGAAGACCCCCGCTGAGGAGGGCCCATCTGCTCTCTCACAGTTCGTCCTGTACTTTGTGATGGATCTCATGAGGGACCAGCCAGGCCTGCCCGGGCTCTTTGTCGCTTGCCTCTTCAGCGGCTCCCTCAGGTACCCTCCTCGGTGACTCCCCTGGGTGTGGCGCCCAACCTCCCACGAGGTGCCGGGTGGAGGAGGGCATCCCCGAGCTCCTCACTGCCCGTCGATCGGGATAGCATGGGGCTGCCCATCTGTGGGACAGCACGTCTTCTCCCGGGTGAGCCTCGTCTCAGCGAAAGGCTCTGCGGTACTGGGGGATCAGGTGGCGGGAGCAGCACCTGCTCCTGCGCTCAGACACTGAGGAAGACTGCTCCAGTGCGAGAAGGCTTCCTGGTGGTGCAGGGCCTCTCTCCCCTCCAGAGGCCCATGGTGGTCTCTCAGCTCCTGGACTCAGCACAGTTGTATTATCTTCTTCCGTTCCAGCACCATCTCCTCTGCTTTTAACTCCCTGGCAACTGTGACGATGGAAGACCTGATTCAGCCCTGGTTCCCTGAGTTCTCTGAAGCCCGGGCCACCTTGGTTTCCAAAAGCCTCGGTGGGATTCTGTCTCCCCATGTTTTCAGTCTGGTCTTTCTAGGACACCCCCCGCCCATAACCATCAGTCCTGTGAATCACCTGCTTTATTCTGGGCTCAGCGCTTGCTTGGGGAGGCACACAGCCTTCTGCCATGGTTGTTTCCATTGCTGGGCGTTTCCTGAGGGTCTCTGACCACGTAGGAGGGAGGAGTTGGTGGGAGGGACCTAGAGCTGGTGTGTGTGGAATCTGCCTCCCTTTGACACATGGGTGGAGTTGGCTGGGCGGGAAGCCTCGCCCAGCCCTCTCCCTTGTGTTAGCTCACATCTGCTTGTTTCTCTCCTCCTTCCCCAGCCTTTGGCTACGGGCTGCTCTGTCTGGGAATGGCCTACATTTCCTCCCAGATGGGACCCGTGCTGCAGGTAATGACTGGAAGGAGGCAGGCTATTGATGCAACAGGAAACCGAGAAAGGCAGCTGTTCTGAGGGAAATGACAGAAGGGGCGGGTATCAGAAGTTCCCTTTTGGGATGGCATGGTGGCTCATACCTGTAATCCCAGCATGGGAGGCCGAGGCCGGAGAATTGCACACAAGAGTCTGATACCAGCCTAGGCAACATAGTGAGACTCCATCTTTACAAAAAAATGGAAAAATTAGCCTGGCATGGTAGCATGTGGATGTAACCCCAGCTATTCAGGAGGGTGAGGCAGAAAGGTCCGAGCTCAGGAGGTCGGGGCTGTGGAGAGCTGTGATTGTGCCACTGCATTCCAGCCTGGGCAACAGAGTGAGACCCCATTAAAAAAAGACCCCTCAGCCGGGCTCAGTGGCTCAGCCTGTAATCCCGCGCCTTTGGGAGGCTGAGGTGAGTGGATTGCCTGAGCCCGTGGGTTCGAGACCCGCCTGGGCAGCGAGACTTCATCTCTGCAATAAATCAAAAAATCAGCCGGGCATGGTAGCACATGCCTGTAATTCTGGCTACTTGGAAGGCTGAGGCGGAAGGATCGCCAGAGCCCAGCAGGTCGAGGCTGCAGTGGCCGGGAGCGGCCACTGCACTCCAGTCTGGGCGACAGAGTGAGACTCCAACTCAACTCAAAACAAAACAAAACAAAACGAAAATAAAAAAACCAAAAAAAGACCCCTCTGGTGAACCAGAGTCTCAGGGTCATCCCTGGCTCAGAGATTGAAGGATCAGCCTCAGTAGAGCACCACACATCCTATGTCTGTTCCTGCCTTTGGGAGCTGCACATTCAGATTGTTGCAGGGAGAGAGATCTGGCAGTACAGCTCGAGTTGGCACGGGGCCATGCTCTGTGGTGAGGCTGGGGTCTCTGTCCTGTGTGTTTCAGGCAGCGATCAGCATCTTCGGCATGGTGGGAGGACCGCTGCTCGGACTATTCTGCCTTGGGATTTTCTTTCCTTGTGCCAACCCTGCTGTGAGTGAAGCATTGAGCCCAGCGTCCTGTGCTGTGGCAGGCCTGGCGAGCGGGTTGGCAGGGCTCTTGCCAGGAGCACTAGGGACACTGTGTGGATTGGCAGGGCTGCCTTGTCTCTGGCAGGGCGCCATCGTGGGCCTGCTGGCTGGACTCGCCATGGCCTTCTGGATCGGCATTGGGAGTATAGTGACCAGCATGGGCTCCAGGGTGACACCCTCACCCCTGAACGTGTCCAGCTTCTCCCTGCCCAACAACCTGACCGCTGCCACTGTGACTGCACTTGTACCCTCCGCTGCCTTCTCTAAGTGAGGCGGGCTTTCCCTCTTCTCGGGGACAGCAGCTCCTTTCTTGCTTGCTGAGGGGTGGGCATCAGAGGCCTCAGAAAACGCTGAGCACACGTAGGCAGGTGGAGCCAGGGGCCGGGACGCCCTGCCGACGCCTGGCTAGCCACCTCCCCTCTCTGCTCCCTCCAGGCCCACAGGGCTGCAGCGGCTCTACTCCCTGTCCTACTTGTGGTACAGCGCTCACAACTCCACCACCGTCCTTGTGGTGGGCCTGGCGGTCAGCTTGCTCACTGGTGAGGGCAGGATCCAGTGCAGAGGGGCGGGGAGGGGAAGGGAGACCCGGGACCTGCCCTGGCCCTTGGGTGTTGGGAGGTCAGGCCTCTCAGCTGAGATCCAGGCGTGGGTGGGACTGGACCTCTGGACCCCAAGGTAGGACAGAGGCGTGCTGCTCCAGAAGGTTCCGCACAGGAGCTCAAGCCCTTTGCCTGCAGGGGGAATGCGGGGCCGGCCCCCGAGCCCAGGGACCATCTACCCGGTGGTGCCACGACTCCTCGCCCTCCTGCCTGAGTGCTGCCGGAAGCGACTTCACTGCAGGAGCCACAGTCAGGTAGTGCCTGCCCCCGTGGCACCCGGCACCCTCCTTTCCTGCCAACAACCCCGACCTCCAGGTCCCCCGCATCCCCTCCCTCTCTTCATCCCTCCCTCCTTCCCTCTGTCCCTATGCCTGTTCAGCTCACCTTCCCCCCACCCCTGT